TGGTGTGTGCAGGTGGGCGGGGACTTGACTCTGGGTCCTGCAGCGTGACCCAGACTCTGACAGGAGGGAGATTTTCATATACATTTTACTAATTTTCTTTCATTTCTGACACTTCTATTATAGATAAAGGGCAAATAGCAATATTAAAGTATTTCCTCTAATTAATTCCCTTTTAATGTGCATGAATTTTGTGTACTGGGCCACTAGTTTTTTATATAACAACAGTAGATGCTAACAGTAGCAATAATAAGTTTGGTTTTCAGGTGTGCCTGCACTATAGGCAAATTGTTCTTAGAAAATCTCTAGTTCCGTATCTGGAAAGGATATATCACTAGTTGTACCTCTCCACAGTCTGAGTGTTGGCAGCTCATTTTCCAACCACAACACTCAGTCTTTCCAGATCACTCTCTTAGGTAACATAACTTCAGCAATTATTTAGCCACATCAGGACCTCTAATACGATTAGCCCATCCGTAGTTTTCATCCTGCTCCATTCTTCCACCTCCTTACATTTCTCCTTGCCTGGCTTTGACTGTGGTCTGTCATTCTAATCAGCACATTGCACATACCTCTCCTCATTCTTCTGTATTCCCCTGGCAAAACCCTGATTCTCAACTTACAGGTGTCCCTGAGCAACTACCAGACCATGACTAAAGAAAAACATAAAACCATACTACCTTATTTCCCTGAAAGTTCGTGTACACAACTGGTTATCCTTTTATTCATTTACCTTTTGAAAAATATATTACAGTGATATCTAACTGCTGAAGTTTTGGATTACTTAACTATTCAAGTTTATTATTGAAAGAATTTGTTCTCTAGTTTTGGTATTAACTGACCTTTAAACATTTGCTTTGACCTAGGTAATTGCCTATGGAAGGAATAGCAAACAGACTTTGTAGATGCTGGATTCATTAATTTGTTAGCACAGATTAGATTAAATGTTCAGGTTTTGATTTTTGTTTGGAGGTTTTAATTTCTTAGACAGTTAAATTTGGTGTTTGCTTCACTATTTGGTTCTAAATAATTTCTAATTTCCATTTATATGTTTCATTTTTCTAGTTATTTTTTTGTCATTGATTTTTAATCTGTGTTGTTGTCTTGTGACCAGAGCATGTGGTCTACACGATGCATACTCTTTGACCCCACCAGGCACTTACTTTTGAGGGTCTTTGCTTTTGCTTTCTTGCATGGACAGCTCTTTCCCAGGTATTTGCAGTGCTTACTGATTTGTTCACGCCTTGATTCAAGTATCACCTTCTCAGTGAAACCTTCTCTGGCCATCTACCTAAAATTTCACACACCCTCTTCCACTTCGAATTGCTCTTCCCTGTCTTATTTTACCCCTTAGCATTTAGCACTTTCTAATATTATCCAACATGTTCCAAGCAAATAGAGAAAAAAGTAAAGACATTAAGGGATGTGTACCTGGACACAGAAACAAAAGAAATATAAGCTGTACGAGAAAGGAAAGGTTGAGTGACTGGACTTTGTCTGCAGTGAAGTTGAAGAGTAGTGTAATGGGGATAAGACTGACACCACTGGGAAGTCAGGGTTGTGGGCAGAGTGTGGCTTTAATTTAATATTTAAGAGGTTATTTATTAGATGAGTTCCAAACAATGGTGAATCAGGGTAGGGGCAGGGTTACTTAAATAGACTATGGATGACGGTTATAGGAGGAACATGAATAAAGAAATTTTAAAGATGGGTTTTGAAGGGCTCTGGACATTGCCCAGCAAGCTGGTGGGACTTGGGGTAAAGGAAACATGTGAATTAATGTAAGGGTGTCCATCTATTATATTGGTCAGAGCTGCTTGATGGAAGAGTCCTCTGGCTTCTTCCTGTGGTTAAGGAAGAATTAGTTGGCTTTCCCCTCTCTGTCCCTTTTGCTTGGTTCCCTTCTGTGTTTGGGTTTAAGGTGACCAATGTGGAAGTGGGAAGGCCTAGAATGGTTTGAGGAAACAATCTAAATAGAAATCTCATTATATAGTTGAAGAAGGATTGGCTCCTTAGATGTATAGGTTCTTATTGGAATCAGCAGCCTGTGTACTTCAGAATTCCATGGCCTTTTCAAGAAATGGTACTTTTGTTTTTGATGTTGTTTGCTTGGTTTTTGCCTACCCTCAAGTGAATATTTTAGGAACTTAGAATGTGTTTTAGTTTAAAAATCTAATGTTTTACCTAAATGTCTCTATTCTTTACATTTTTGTTGCAAAGTGGCAAATTTGCAACCTTTTGTCTTATTTTCTTTGATGGTTCCATTCACATTGCTTAGAGAATATTTTCTTCCACTTGTAAATAAAGCAGTTGTTTTTATGTGCATTTCTTTCCTTTGCTAACAGCTGATAGGACAGCACTTTCATTGGTGCCTGACTTTCCTTCTGAGCTGCAGTCATTTCCCACTTCTTTGGTATTGTAGTGGGAGAGTTTTTGTTTGTTTGGGTGTTGCTGTTGTTTTGTTTGTTTTTTAAGCTTTTGAATTGACATGTGGTAAAATAACTACTTGGTTGGCAAGAATTGAGCTATTTACCGACCATCTTCTAGACTTGTGGCATAACATACCAACAGCTTAATTTCTGAAGTTGGACTTACACAATGCTGATTTGCTTTGTTTGGATTTGAGGTGGTGGTAATACTACTATTTCTAAAATTATTTCATACTGTAGAAATAAGGAGTAATGTATTAGTATCTCTTCATAGATTTCTTCTATTTGTACATTACTTATATAGGGTTTCTGTGCCCTAATATTCTGTGAGACTATTTTGTATGTATGTTGGTCTCTTTACAGAGAATTCCTCAGGAAGCTTTGTGAGGCCTCCATGAAGACCAGATATCAAAAAGTGTAGTTGTAAAGTTCGTGACGCAGGAAATAGAATCAAGCCGGTCAGAAAAGGGAAAAGAGAAGGTTTAGTCCGCGTTCTCAGGCGAGCCCCACAAGCCCCAAAGGCAGGGCCAGTGGATTCGCGCCAACAGGGAGGGGGGCACTTCTTTTCATACAGGTGTTTGGTGAGGGGCGGGGTCGGCATGTTGACCTGTTAGGAATTCCTGGGAGGGCCCATTATCTGCCTTGCGGTGGCATGCATCCACTCCTGGGCTTCCCTTCGACCTGACAGTAGGGAAAACTTCAGTGCAGCTATATTATTTGTTTGTTTTTTAATCCTCACCCGAGGATATTTTTCCATTGTTTTGTTTTGTTTTGTTTTTTTCAAACAGGGCAGCCAACTTGGTTGCCTCCTAGAAAAGTACCTGGGAGAGGGAAGGACATATTTCCATTGATTTTTCAAGGAGAGTGGAAGAGAGAGGGAAAGACAGAGAACTATCGATGTGAGAGAAACATGAATTGGTTCGATATTCTATTGTTTATAGGACATCATAAGGAGAGGGGAAATAGAATTATTTGAACTCTATTAACATATGAAAACATTCAAATCTGTAAAGAATTTTTGTGAGTTTGAGTCAAACTGTCACAATTGCTGGGAAGGAGAAGCTCAAGAAATTGAGATAATGCTCTGGGGAATGGGGTTTTTCACCTATTTAAGGTGGAGATGTAAGTGGGTTAGAGGGAATCCATTTGTGATAGATTAGGGAGGGAAAGCAAAGCTGGAAAACCTCTAGGATTGGATAAAAGATAAAATGATAAAGACCATGCTTCTTTTACTTAGGTGGGTACAGGATAGATAACAGCCAACAATTAACAGGATAACAATAACAATGAGGGATTTGTAGTCCCCGCCCTGGCGCCATATGTTGTGCCCAAAGGGGTCCAGAAAAAGGGAAGTTAAAAGTTACCCTGACTTTCCAAAGTTCTGTTATCTTAGATTCAAAGAGACAATAGGCTCAGTAAAGATCTAAGTTGATCTTTGTGAGGGAAGATACTAGCCTAGGACATAACAATCCTATATAATAAAAGGATAATATGGAAATTGACCCTAATGGCAGAATAACCAGAATGACTGCTTGACCAGTCACTATGAGGTGCACTGACCACTTCTCGGTCACATTCCCCAGCCAGCAGGCTCCGATTGCCCAATGGTGAATGGGGAACCGAGAGTGGATGGCGGGGGATGCAGGTAGTGCCAGGCCAAGGCCCACACGCGCGGGTTGCCCCACACAGAGGACGACCTGCAGCGGGGGCGGGGCCAGCAAGTGGGAGGGAACAGCCAACCTCTTGGTCCCTCCCCCCAGCCAGCAGGCTCCGAAAGGGGAACCGGAGGCGGGTGGCAGTGGGGGGTGGGGCTGGCTGTGGGCAGTTGGGAAGATGGCCCTGATCGCAGGCCAGGCCTAGGGACCCTACCCATGCATGAAATTCGTGTGCCAGTCCTCTAGTCCACTATAAACTGCTTTTTATAATTAAAGGTTTTAGTTTCAGACCATCCTTTGTGGTTACGTTAGGTCTGTTGAGTTTGCAAGGCTGCCGCGCAGGCCTTCCCTGAGTTAGTCAGATTAGCATGTGGCCCCTTTTTGTCCACAACGCTTTTGGTTATTTAAAATGTAACTGTTTAATCTAGAGTAGGCATTAGGGTAGGCTTAATCTTTGATTAGAAAGTAGAACTATTTTTTTAGTTGCTTATTTTTAATAACAGATTTTAAGATCCTTGGGTTAAAAGAGTTGTACTTTTATAGTTGGAAGGGATCTTAGATGTACTGTCATCACACATGTTGGACTGGTATTTCCCTCATTAAAAGTTAGAATCTGAAAAAACACCACACTGAAAGCAATCCAGAACAAAGGTGGAGCAGTATCCATTAACGTGGACAGGTGTTTTGCTGCCATTGGTTTTCTGAGCATTAACTCATTAGCCTTTGTTTTTAATTGTTGATTTATTTTTTAATTTGACTATTCTCATATTTTCTTCCATTTGAATCTTTAATAGTATGCATAGGGATCCTAAGTAAATAGTTCAGAAGTGCAACTTGGTTTGAGAAACATTGAATATGAACTTGGTGGATGATTTACAGATATCCTGAAGTGTCTAACTTATCTATCCTTCTCTTTTAGGAAACTGAAAATGGCCCTTCAGCTATGCTAGGTTTATAATGGGAAGCGTCACAGTTCGATATTTCTGTTATGGATGCCTTTTTACATCTGCGACCTGGACGGTTTTGCTTTTTGTTTATTTCAACTTCAGTGAAGTGACTCAGCCACTTAAGAATGTGCCCATCAAGGGGTCTGGGCCCCATGGGCCATTCCCCAAAAAATTCTATCCCCGTTTCACCCGGGGCCCAAGTCGAATATTAGAATTACAGTTCAAAGCAAACAAGATTGATGAGGTGATAGATAATCATATTGAAGATGCAGAAAAAGGCAACATGAAATTCTCTTCTGAATTGGGTAAGTGTATTTGATTTTTCCTAGCAGCATGTCAATATCTAATCATTGGAAGTTTTAGTTTTAATTATTCTTTAAGTCATGTGTTGTTCAGGGGATCAGAAATGTATCATTTTTCCCCCTCCAGTTTATTTCATTCATGAACTAGCTGAGGTCTTTATGATTTGGCAGAATTAGAGGGAAGTTATATTCTAATATGTCCAATTCTGACTTCAGTACTTTTTTAAAAAATATATCTTATTGATTTTTCACAGAGAGGAAGGGAGAGAGATAGTTAGAAACATCGATGAGAGTGAGACATCAATCAGCTGCCTCCTGCACACCCCCTACTGGGGATGTGCCCGCAACCCAGGCACATGCCCTTGACCGGAATCGAACCCGGGACCCTTCAGTCCACAGGCCGACGCTCTATCCACTGAGCCAAACCGGTTTCGGCCTGACTTCAGTACTTTATGAGGACTTGGGAAAAACTAGTAAGGTCCAGAATAGAAAATGAGAAATTAAGGATTTTAATTGCTATTATTAGTTAATAAGGGAACATGTTTGACTCTATTTAAGATATTTTAAAAGTTACAGAATTAGTTAAAACAACATAAACCACTGGGTTGAGAAATAATTTGAGATTACTTATATTTAATTTCTGCTTATACTAATTAAGTTGCTGTAAATATTTAATAAATATAGAATTTTATAAAATCTGAGTATAAAATAGAAACTTTTCTCTTCAAAAATTCTGTTCAAGGAGGTAGCAAGAATCGACTGTGTATGTTTTTGAATATTATAAATCTCAAGTACTGGTTTTAGCAAACTTTATTTTAAGGGATAAATGAGCCATTTTGGTTTTCTTTAAAACTTAAAAGGAATTTGATCTTATCATGGAAGCATAAAATAGTATTTAAAGAAATTGAAAGATGGACAAATATAAAGGAAATGTTAAAACATTTTTGTATCATAGTTTCAAAAAAATAAAATCAGTTTCTAGGATTTAAGGATTCTTTAATACATGAAGTTAAAAGAATTTAAAATGATAGGAAACCGAAGCTAATACTCCATTTTCATAAAATACATCTTCTAATCTTTTTCAAATAGCCATGTAGACTTTTAAGAGTATTAGTGGGAAAAATTCTTATTCAAAGTTATTTTGGTAAAACTTTTTATACAGAAGTAATGTTGGGTTTATCGTATTTGCCTTAGAAAGAAGCAGTGAGAGAATTATTGCTATTTGAAGTGACAAACCCAAATTGCCTCACTGAACAACTAAATTCTCAAAAAGATCCTAAAGAATACACAAAAAATCTATTACAGCTAATAAAGAAATGTTCAAACATGTAGAAACTATATAAATAAGAGCCAAGCGGCCAGAATGATGGAACGACCGGTCGCTATGACGCTCACTGCCGCGGCCAACCAGCCTCTAGTGTTTCATAAAAATTTATTTGAGCCAAAAAGAGGGATCAAGATCTCAACGGATGGAGATAAATGCTTCTAAGAATAACAGTTTGCAGCTTCTTTTATGCATTAGAAATTAAGGAGGGAATGTACGAAAGATTACGTGGAGGTGGAAGAAAAGCAACTCAGGGATGCAATTACAGGGTACTTAAGATTATGTGCTTTCTTGAGATGTCTGAAAGGGGGCATTTCAAAAGTGTATTAGCCTAGATCAGTGATGGCAAACCTTTTGAGCTCGGCCTGTCAGCGTTTTGAAAAACCCTAACTTAACTCTGGTGTCGTGTCACATATAGAAATATTTTGATATTTGCAACCATAGTAAAACAAAGACTTATATTTTTGATATTTATTATATATATTTAAATGCCATTTAACAAAGAAAAATCAACCAAAAAAATGAGTTTGCATGTCACCTCTGACACGCGTGTCATAGGTTCACCATCACTGGCCTAGATGCACAGAAACAGTGGACAGGGCTTGCTTAAGGCAAAGATTGGCCTCTTCCCGCCCTCCTTCCCTCTTCCCTCTGAGATTCATCATTCTGTTCCATGCTTCCATGCCTCTGATTCTATTTTATTCACCAGTTTATTTTGTTCATTAGGTTTCTTGTTCATTTATTTTGATTTTTTTAGATTCAATTTTTGATAGATATGTACTAGTATTTGTTGCCATTTTATTGTTCATATTTTTATCTCCTCCTCCTCTTCTTAAAGAAGACCCTTTAACCTTTAATGTAATACTGGTTTGGTGTTGATGAACTCCTTTAGCTTTTTCTTGTCTGTAAAGCTCTTTATCTGGCCCTCAATTCTACACGAGAGCTTTGCTGGGTAGAATAATCTTGGTTGTAGGTCCTTACTATTCATCACTTTGAATATTTCTTGCCACTCCCTTCTGGCCTGCAAAGTTTCTGTTGATACAGTCATATGGGTGCTCCCTTGAAATCTTGGCGCTTTTAAGATTCTCTCTTGGTCTTTAACCCTTGGTGTTTTAATTATGATGTGTCTTGATGTAGTCCTCTTTGGGTTCCTCTTGTTTGTAAGAGGACTTGCGCTTCCTGGACATGTAAGTATATTTCTTTCACCAGGTAGGGGAAGTTTTCTGTCATTATTTCTTCAAACAGGTTTTCAATATCTTCCTTTCTTTCTTCTCCATAATGCAAATGTTGGTATCCCCATAATGAGAATGTTGGTATGCTTGAAGCCAGAGGCTCTTTACACTTTCTTTTTGGATTCTTTTTTTTTGTTGTTGTTCTTCTGATTCGGTGTTTTCTGCTTCCTTATATTTCAAATCGTTGATTTGATTCTCAGAATCCTCTATTCTACTGTTGAATCCCTGTAAATTATTCTTTATTTCACTGAGTGTATGCTTAATTTCTGACTGGTCCTTTTTCATGTCTTTGACATTCTCACTAATATCCTTGAAAGTCTCATGAAGATCCTTGAGTAACCTTACAACCATGGTTTTGAACTTTGTATCCAGTAGTTTGCTAGTTTCCATTTCTTTCATTTGTGACATGTTTCTTTGTCTCTGCATTTTGGCTGTATCTCTGTGTTTGTTTCTATGTATTAGATAGAGCTACTATGTCTCCTGGAATTGTAGAGTGGCCTATGTAGTAGGTGTCCTGTAGGGCCCAGTGGCTCAGCCTCCCCAGTCACCTGAGCTGGGCACTCTAGGTGCATCCCTGTGTGGGCTTGTAGTTGAGCCTTGTTTGATGTTGGCATCACTGGGAGGAATTGACCTTCAAGCCTATCGGCTGTGAGGACCAGCTGCGACTACAGAGAGAGAGCTGTTGTGCAAGAAACATCCTTGTGGAGCAGGACTTGCCTCAGTAAGGCTTTGGTGCTCACTGAGTTTGCCCCTGTGAGTGTGTCACTTGTGGATGTGTAGAGTTGTAATCTGCTATGGTCTGAAGCTGTCTACCGGGTGCACTGGCTCTAGGGGTTCCAGGGAGGTGCAAAGTCAGCCACTGCCTGGGACCACACAGCAGGTGCTACATAGGGATCTGCAGAGGGCTACTATTTGCTATTTGTATTGGGCTTGGAGATGCCCAGGCAAGGCCCAGCTGTGAAGCAAGACAGTGGGTGTTAGTGCTGGGTTTGGTCCTTTTATTGATAGGTTTGGGACACACTTTCATCAGCTGCAGCTTGTTTGAGAGATTTAGCAGTCTCCAGAACAATCTTGAAAAAGAACTAAGTTGGATGACTCATATGTCCTGATTTCAAAACTTCTACAAAGCTATAGTAATCAAAACAGTGTGGTACTGGTGTAAGGACAGGCATAGATTAGTGGATGGTTGATAAATATAAAATAAACCTATGACAGCTGTGGTCAATTGATTTTCAAAAAACAAGGTGCCAAGGCCCTTGCTGTTTTGGCTCAGTGTATAGAGCATCGGCCCTCCGACTGAAGGGTTCTGGGTTCATTTCGGGCCAAGGGCACATACCCTGGTTGCAGGTTTGATCTCTGGCCCTGGTCGGGGCATATGCGGGAAGCAACCAATGGTTATGTCTCTGTTTCTCCCCCTCCCTTCCACTCTAAAAATCAATGGGAAAATATCCTCAGGTGATGATTAACAAGAACAACAAAAAAGAAGGTGCCAACACAATTTAATGGGGAGAGAATAGTCTTTTCAACAAATGGCATTGGGACAACTAGATTCTCACATACAAAGGAATGACGTTGGACTCCTACCTCATATCATATATAAAAATTAACTGAAATTGGATCAGACCTAAATGTAGGAACTAAAATCATAAAACCCTTAGAAGAAATCATAGGAGTAAATCTTCATGACCTTGGATTGGCAATGGTTTCTTAGATATGACACCAAAAGTATAAGCAACAAAAGAAAAAATAAATTGGACTGCATCAAAATTAAAAACTTTCGTAACATCAAAGAATACTACCAAGAAAGTGAAGAAGAAAACCCCCCCAAAATGGGTGAAAATGTTTGCAAACCATATCTCTAACAGGTCCATTATCCAGAATATCTAAAGAACTCTTACAACTCAAGAATAAACAGACAAACAGCCCAATTTCATAGACATTTCTCCTAAGAAGATAGCCAACCAGCACATGAAAAGATGTTTAACATAATTTTACAGAAATTCAAACCTCCACAATGAGATACATCCTGTAGGATGGTTATAATTTTTTTAAAAGGAAAATAATAAGTGTTGGTGAGGATGTAGAGAAATTAGAACGCTTAGATATTGCTGCTATGAATGTCAAATGGCGCAGCCACTGTGGAAAAAGAGTTCCTCAGTAAATAAGCATAGAATTACCATATGACCTAGCAATTCATTTCATTCCTGGGTATATACTCAAAAGAATTGTAAGTAGGTGTTCAAACAAAAATTTGTGTACAAATTGTTATAGCAGCATTCTTCTAAATGGACAGAAGGTGGAGACAACTCAGGTGTCCATCAACTGATATGGAAGGACAAACAAAATGTTGTATAGATACAATTGAGTATTACTCAGGCATAGAAAGAAATGAAGTTATGATATATGTATGCTATGATATATGAAGTTATGGTGAATCTTAAAAACATTGTAAGTGAAGGAAGGAGAACACAAAAGGTCAAATATTGTGTCATTCCTTTTATGTACAATGTCTAGAATAGACAAATTAAAAAAGACAGAAAGAGATTAGTGATTGCCAGGGGCTGGAGGAGGGAGGAAAGGGCAGTAACTGATCTATGGTGATAGGGTTTCCTTTTGGGGTAGCAGAAATATTCTGCGGCTAGGTAGTTGTGATGGTTGTATAACACTGAAAATGCACTAGATATCACTAACGGCAAATTTTATGTCTACATTTGGCCATAATCCAAACTGAGAAAACCCCCACTGAATTTCTTTATAAAGAAAAGTTAATTTAGAAGGACTTAATGTAAGTCAATATAGTAATAGTTAAATGTACACTGATTTCTGAATAGTGTACTGTCAACAATTGGAAAAGTACCTGCAAAGTACATCTTAGAAAGTTTATCAACAACAAAACTTAAAAATAGGTATTCTGATTTAATTGACAGTTATAAAATTAATTGAAATAACTCCTCTGGCATGTTTTTTTGTTTGTTTTGTTTAAATTTTCTGTCATGTTAATTAATTGAAATTTGGCTGTAATTTTGTTAGTGCAGGGGAAGGGGTAGACTAAGCTAAATTAACCCCCTGTTTTTAAGATCTACTCTGTTAGCAACTTTCAAATATATGATTCAGTATTCTTCACTGTAGTTACCATGCTATACATTACACGTCCAGAATTTGTAACTGGTAGTCTGTACCTTTTGATAAACTTCATGCAGTATTTCCATCCCCCTTCCCATCTCTGCGAACCACAAATCTGGTTCCATATACAGGGTAGGGCAAAAGTAGGCTTACAGTTGTTTGTATGGAAAATAGTACTACAATCTACACTAATAAAAGAGAAGCATGCAAATTGGTGTCACTCCACTATGCTCACCAGCCAATTGGATGAGTATGCAAATTAACCCAACAAAGATGGCGGTGGCCACGGAGCTGGAGAGAGCAGGAGGCTTGGGTTGCCCCCGGCAATGGAGGAAGCCAAGCTTTTCGTGTGCCCTGCCAGCCCCGAGCTCCGCTCAAGGCTACAAAGTTTTGATCATAGACGATAAATAAATCCCGGATACTAGCTTCCAGCCCACGGCCATGGCCAGCCTGAAAACGGCCATCAGCCCCTCACCCAGGCTGGCCAGGCACCCCAGCGGGACCCCCACCCTGATACAGGACACCCTTCAGGGCAAACCAGCCAGCCCCCAC